TATATATATATTCTATACTGAGCCAGCAAGATGGCTCAATGTATAAAGGTGCATCCCACTGAGCCTGACAACCTGAGTTTGATCTCCAGGGCCCACAAGATGGAAGTCAGCGCCTCAAGTTTACCTCAAGTTTACCTCTGACTTGTTATGCATACACACAGAGAATACATATAAATTTGATGCCACCTGGTATTGTTATTCTTGTTTTGAGGTCATTTTAAGATGAAAAAAAAACCTTTTTTCCAAAAGAAAAATAAATCAAGTTTATGTTAATATTTTAAACTCAAAAGTTTTTGCTTTGTGTTTATAATCACTTTCTTTAGTATCTTATTCCTTACAAGTCTCCAAACTTTTTTCTTCAAATATTTTTGCAATACTTGAGACAGAAACCAAGTGCACACAAGTGCCCTACCACTAAGTTCCATTATCAGACTCTTATTTTTTATTTTTTGGTTTTTCAAGAAAGAGTTTCTCTGCTTTGGAGCCTTACCTGGAACCCTGGAACTAGCTCTTGTAGACCAGGCTGGCCTCGAACTCACAGAGATCCACCTGCCTCTGCCTCCCGAGTGCTGGGATTACAGGATTGCGCCACCACCGCCCGGCAATAATCAGACTCTTTTAACTTTTTTATTTTTAATTTTGTACATTGGTGTTTTACCTGCATGTATGTCTATGTGAGGGTATTAGATTCCTAGAGCTGGAGTTACAGACAGTTATGAGCTGCCATGTGGGTGCTGGGAATTAAAACAAGGTCCTCTTAAAGAACAGTCAGTGCTCTTAACCACTGAGTCATCTCTCCACACCCTTTTAACTTTTAAAAAAGATTTATGTTACGCCCGAGCCAGCAACCTCTGTCAGAGCAGGCCCGAGTGAGTGACCTCTGCCAGAGCAGGTATGAGGGAGCAACGGCCAAGGGAGCAGGCCTGAGCCAGAGACCTCTGCGGGATCCAGCCAGGGATCTCCATGGGAGCAGGCCCAAGCCAGGGACACCCACGGGAACAGGCCAGAGCCAGTGACCTCCACAGGAGCAGACCCCAGCCAGCGACCTCTGACGGAGTAGGCCCAAGCAAGCAACCTCCACAGGAGCCAGTACCAGGGAGTGACTGCCAAGGGAGCAGGCCTGAGACAGAAACCTCTGTGGGAACAGGCCCAAGCCAGGTACATCTGCAAGAACAGGCCCAAGCCAGCAATCTCGCCAGAACAAGCCTGAGTCAGCAACCTACACAGAAACAGGCCCAAGTCAGCCATCTCCAAGGAACCAGGCCTGAGCCAGCCAGCCACCTCCAGAGGACCAGGCCCAAGCCAGTGACCTCAGTGGAAGCAGGAACGAACGACCTCCAGGATTGCAGAGCGAACACCAGGAGCACCAAGAAAATCCAGGAAAACCAAGTAACATCCAAGGTGACTGGAACTGTGGCCCCAACTGCACCATACAGAACAACCATCTGAGCCTTGGATACACTGGCACCTGAAAGATGGATCATCAGAGACACAGCCTCAACTACACCAATCATGGGAAAAGATGGGTAGACAAGGTAAGAACACACTCAACACCACAACGAGAAAAACAACACCAACAAAAATTTAGTGGCTCTATAGCAACAAGACTTGAACACCCCAATATAGATGAAGCAGAAGAAAATGACCTAAAAAATAACTTTAGGAGAATGTCTGAGGCCCTTCAACAGAAAATGAAAAATTCCCTCAAAGAAATAGAGAAAAAGTCAAACAAAAAAATTGGAAGAAATAAACAAATCCCTTAAAGAAAACCAGAAAAAAACAATCAAACAGATGAAAGAAACAATTCAAGACTTGAAAACCAAAATAGAGACAATAAAGAAAACATAAACTGAGGAAATTCTGGAAACAGAAATTATGGGAAAATGATCTGGGACCACAGATGCAAGCATAAACAGCACAATACCAGAGAGGGAAGAGGGAATCTCAAGCACTGAAGACGAATACAGAAAATAGACTCATCAGTCAAAGAAAATATTAAATCTAACAAAAACTTAACACAAAATATCCAGGAAATATGGAACACCATGGAAGGACCAAACATAAGAATAACAGTGATGAAGAAGTCCAACTCAAAAGCACCGAAAATACATTTAACAAAATCATAGAAGAAAACTTTCCTAACCTAAAAAAAGATATGCATTGAAGATACAAGAAGCGTACAGAACACCAAGTAGACTGGATCAAAAAAAAAAAAGTCCTCTCACCACATAATAATCAAAACACTGAACATACAGAATAAAGAAAGAATATTAAGAGCTGCAAAGGAAAAAAAAAGGCCAAGTAACAAATAAAGGTAGACCTATTATAATTACACCTGATTTCTCAATCGAAACAATGAAAGCCAGAAGTCAAGTGTTATGTAGACATTAAGAGACCATGGATGTCAGCCCAGACTATTAAACCCACCAAACTTTCAATCACAATAGACGGACAAAACAAGATACTCCACAACAGAACCAGATTTAACCAATACCTAGCCACAAACCCAACCCTACACAAAGTACTAGAAGGAAAACTCCAACCCAAGGAAGTTAGCTACATCTACAAAAACACAGATTATTTGATAGATGATCTCACAGCAGCAAATCCCAAAGAAGGGAAAAAAAAACACACACACAATAACATCAATAATGAAAACTAAAATCACGAGAGATAACAATCACTGATCATTAATAGCCTTTAATATAAATGGACTCAACTCACCTATAAAAAGACACAGGCTAACAGACTGAACACAAAAACAGAATCCATCCTTCTGCATACAAGAAACAAACCTCAACCTCAAAGACAGACATTGCCTCATAGTAAAGAGTTGGGAAAGAAAATTTCCAATCAACTGGACCTAAGAAACATGTGGGTGTAGCTATCCTAATAGCTAACAAAATAGACTTCAAGCTAAAATGAATCAAAAAAAGGACATTTCATATTAATCACAGGAAAAATTCATCAAGAGGAAATCTCAATACTGAACATGTATGCCCCAAATATAAAGGCACCCTCATATGTAAAAGAAACACTTCTAAAGCTTAAATCATACATTAAACTCCACACTAATAGTGGGCGACTTCGACATTCCATTCTCACCACTGGACAGGTCTGCCAGACAGAAACTTAACAAAAGAAATAAAGGAACTAGCAGATGTTATGACTCAAATGGACTTAACAAACATCTATAGAACACTCCATCCAATCATAAAAGAACATACCTTTTCAGCACCTCATGGAACCTTCTTAAAAATTGACCACATACTAGGTAACAAATCAAACCTCAAAAGATACAAAAAAATAACCTGGAATAACCCCATGTATCTTATCAGATCACCATGGCTTAAAATTAGAATTCAACAGTAACATTAATTTCAGAAAACCCAAAAACACATGGAAATTAAAACATGCTCACCTGAATCATCAATGGGTCAAGGAATAAAATAAAGACTTCCTAAATTTCAATGAAAATCACAACATAAAATACCCAAATTTATGGGACACAATGAAAGCAGTGTTAAGAGGAAAGTTCATAGCACCAAATGCCTACATAAAGAAGCTGGAAAAATTTCACATTAGTGAGTAACAGAACACCTGAAAACTCTAAAAACAAAAATAAGCAGACTCACCAAGGAGGAGTAGATGGTTAGGAAATAATCAAATTGAGAGCGGAAATCAACAAAACAGAAACAAAGAAAATACAAAGAATCAATGAGACAAAGAGTTGGTTCTTTGAAAAAAATCAACAAAATAGACAAACCTTTATCCAAACTAACCAAAAGGCAGAGAGAGAATATACAAATTAACAAAATCAGAATGAAAAGAGGAACATAACAACAGACGCAGAGAAAATCCAGAGAATCATCAGGTCATACTTTGAAAACCTGTACTCCACAAAATTGAAAACCTTAAAGGAAATGGACAATTTTCTGGATAAATACCACTTAACAAAATTAAATAAAGACCAGATAAGCAAATTATACAGACCTATAATGGCTAAAGAAATAGAAACAGTCATCAAAAGTCTCCCAACCAAAAAAAAAAAAAAAAGCTCAGGACCAGATGGTTCCAGTGAAGAATTCTAAAAGATTTTCAAAGAAAAACTAATACCAATACTCCTCAAGTTGTTCCACACAATAGAAACAGAAGGAACATTGCCAAACTCTTTTTATGAGGCTACAATTACCCTGATACCCAAACCACATAAAGACATTACTAAGAAAAAGAATTACAGACCAATCTCACTCATGAACATTGATGCAAAAATACTAAATAAAATACTGACAAATCGAATCCAAGAACGCATCAGAACCATCATCCACCATGGTTAAGTAAGTTTCATCCTAGAGATGTGGGGATAGCCAAGGTAATCCACCATAGAAACAAACTGAAAAAAAAAATCATTTCATTAGATGTTGAAAAAGCCTTACTTAGACAAAATATAATATCCCTTCATGATAAAGGTCTTGGAAAAAGCAGGGATACAAGGAACATACCTAAACATAATAAAGGCAATATACAGCAAGCCAACAGCCAATATCAAACTAAATGGAGAGAAACTCAAAGTGATCCCACTGAAATCAGGAACAAGACAAGGTTGTCCATTCTCTCCATATCTATTCAATATAGTACTGGAGATTCTAGCTAGTGCAATAAGACAACAAAAGGAGATCAAGGAGATACAAATCAGAAAAGCAGAAGTCAAACTCTCAATATCGGATGATGATATGATAGTTTACATAAGTGACCCCAAAAATTCTACCAAGGAACTTCTACAACTCATAAACACTTCCAGTATATAGCAGGATACAATATTAACTCAAAAAAATCAGCAGCCCTCCTGTACTCAGATGATAAATGGGCTGAGAAATCAGAAAAACATCACCCTTCAATAGCCACAAATAATATAAAATACCTTGGAGTAACTCTAACCAAACAAGTAGAAGACCTGTATGGCAATAACTTTAAATCTTTGAAGAAAGAAATTGAAGAAGACACCAGAAAATGGAAAAATCTCTCATGCACTTGGGTAGGTATAAATAACATAGTAAAAATGGCAGTCTTACCAAAAGCAATCTACAGATTCAATGCAATGGCCATCAAAATCCCAGCAAAATTCTTAAAATTCTTCACAGACCTCAAGAGAACAATACTCAACTTCCTATGAAACAGCAAAAGACCCAGGATAGCCAAAACAATCCTGTACAATAAAGAAACTTCTGGAGGCATCACAATGCCTGACTTCAAAATCTACTTCAGGGCTATAATACTGAAAACAGCCTGGTACTGGCATAAAAACAGACAGGAGGACCAATAGGACCAAATCCAATAACTGAATATCAATCCACACACCTATGAACACCTGATTTTTAACAAAGAAGCAAAACATATAAAATGGAAAAAAGAAAGCATATTCAACAAATGGTGCTGGCATAACTAGGTATCAACCTGTAGAAGAAAGAAAATAGACCCATATCTATCACCATGCACAAAACTCAAGTCCAAATGGATCAAAAAACTCAACATAAAACCAAGCACACAGAACCTCATAGAAGAGAAAGTGGGAAGAACCCTACAACAGATGGGCACAGGAGACCACTTCCTAAATATGACCTCAGTAGCACAAACACTGAAAGAAACAATAAATGGGACCTCCTAAAACTGAGAAGTCTCTGTAAAGCAAAGGACATGGTCAACAAGAAAAAACAACAGCCTACAAAATAGGAAAAGATCTTTACCAACCCAACATCAGACAGAGGTCCAGTCTTCAAAATATACAAAGAACTCAAGAAATCGGTCATCAAAAGAACATGTAATACAATAAAAAAATGGAGTAAAGACCTAAACAGAGAACTCTCAACAGAGGAATCTAAAATGGCTGGAAGACACTTAAGTAAGTGGTCAACATCCTTAGCCATCAGAGAAATGCAAATCAAAACAACTCTGAGATTCCATCTTACACCTGTAAGAATAGCCGAGGTCAAAAATACTGATGACAATTCACACTGGAGAGGATGTGGGGTAATGGGAACACTCTTCCATTGCTCATGGGAGTGCAAACTGGTACAGCCACTTTGGAAATCAGTATGGTGATTTCTCAAAAAATTAGGAAACAACCTACCTCAAGACCCAGCAATACCACTTTTGGGTATATACCCAAAGGATGCTCAATCGTGCCACAAAGACATGTGCTCAACTATGTGCATAGCAGCATTGTTTATCATAGCCAGAACCTGGAAACAACCTAAATGCTCCTCAACTGAAGAATGGATAAGGAAAATGTGGTACATTTACACAATGGAATACTACACAGCAAAAATAATAATAACAACATCTTGAAATTTGCAGGCAAATGGATGGATCTATAAAACATATTGAGTGGGGTAACCCAGACCCAGAAAGACAATATAATATGTACTCACCCATAAGTGGCTTTTAGACATAAAGCAAAGAAAAACCAGCCTACAAATCACAGCCCCAGAGAACCTAGACAACAAAAAGAGGATCCTAAGAGAGACATACATGGTTCTAATCTACAAGGAAAGTAGGAAAAGACAAGATCTCCTGAGTAAATTAGGATCATGGGGATCATGGGAGAGGGTAGAAGGGGAGTGGGAGGAAGGGAAAGGAGGAAAGAAAAATATATAGCTCAATAAAAACAATTTTAAAAAGATTTATGTTCCATTTATTAATGGGGGAGGTGGGAGGGTATACATGGAAATCAGAGTCCTCCTTCTACCATGTGTCCTGAGGATTAAATTCAGGTAGTCAGGTTTGGCAGCAAGCACCTTTATTCACTGAGCCATCTAACTGGACCTCTTTTCTTTGGCCGTAAGTCTGCATTATAGAAACTTCTGTTTGTGAGCATCTCATCACATTGTGAGGTTAGTTTTATGGGATTAGCTGCTGCTGTTTAATTTTGGCTTTCTCCGTGCAGTGACTGCTTTGCAGTGCTTGCTAGGGTAGACACACAGCCCTTCACTCCAGCTGCCAGCAACCCCTGAATATGGGGTAAGTCATTATTTCTAGGTCTGATAGATATGTGTCTACCATGGCTCTGCCAGACTAACAAATCAAATTTCATCCTCAGTCCAGATCCTGGGACACCTGACACCAATGGAATCTTTAAAAAGCTGTCATGCTTAGAGGTCTCTGCTTCCTCACTGGCAAGTATCTACCAAACTTGCCCACCTAATTCTGTTCGTCTGATGAAGCAGCAGTGTCCACCTGTTGGTCAGCCCACCAGTCCATGCTGGTTAGAGGCAGCTGCTAGTCTTCAGTTAGTTCCAACCCTAGGACTCTGAAGAAAGGACATGATGTGATCATTCTATTTCATGAGACAAATCAATCACACATGCCCCACCTCCAGTTCTGCCTTTCTAGTTAGTGGAACATCACCAAGCATCTATCAATATGTCACTTGTCAAACAGCTTCAAATGCAAATATTCAACTCTTTCTGTATCTTCATCTGCATTGTCACAAAAGTTTCTGGGAAACTGCACAGAACTTAGATAACATTTTTAATGCCAGTTTTATTGTGGTCTAATCCATATACAACATGTAACTCATCTGAAGTGTACAATTTTAATGGTTTGCAGCATATTCAGATGTGAATGAGAATCACAGTGACCAATTTTAGAACATCCCCACCCCACCCCACCCCCAAAGAACTATGTACCTACAAACTATCACTCTCTCTACACCCCACTCATCTCCAGGAATTCACCAATTGACTTTTTGTTTGTGTTGAGAGAATCTTGCTATGTAGCCTAGCCTAGCCTGGAACTCATTAGCATCCTGCTTCAACTTCAAGTGCATGCTCTACCAGACAGGTCTAACTGACTTTCTTACCAGCACTCAAAACCTAATGGAAAATCTAGACTTGGGTCTAAACTAAAATTGATTTGCAGTTTTACAGATAAGAAAGCAAAGGCTCAGGGATTTCATTAATGTTCGGACTGGGATTTGTCCATATGACCTCAGAATCGGTTTCTTTTATACATTATGAAGCTCACATGGTCCATCCTCCCAAATTCTGTTTTTCTTATCTGAAACCAAGTCTCGCTTTGTAGCCCAAGCTGGCCTCAAACTCCTGGTACTCTCCCTGTCACTTCCTCTCAAGTGCCAGAATTGTGTGTACCACTACGTCCAGATACCCATTCAAATTCTGAACAAAATGAAAAATGCTAGTCAGGCATAGTGGAACATATTTGTAATCCTAGCACTGGAGAGGCTGAGGCAAAAGAATGGCTGCAAGTTCAAGACCAATCTGAATTACATAATAAATTCCAAGTTAGGCAGGGTTACAGAATGGGACTATCAGAGAGAAGAGTAGGGAGATACAGAGAAAAGCTGATAAACTGAGACTGTAGCTCAGTGGTGGTGTGCATGCTTAGCATGTGCAAGAGGCCAAGTTCCATCCTCAGCACCAAAATAAAAAGCTACAGTTACTATAGTTATAAAATAAGATTTCTGTACTATCATTCCTAGTACATTAATATAATAACTTCTATAAATCACCAATTGTGGTGATAGGTGATGTGCCTGAAAATATTAGCAGGGGAATCCTGATGTCACGTCAGATAAGTTCAGCCATCAGTAAACAGAGTATCCCTGTGATGAGCTCCTGTATAGTGTTACTAAATTGAATTGACAAGGCTTCTGTCTCCCTCTAGTGGAGGGAAGAAACAACAGAATACAAAAGGTCAGTTTTGTTGATGTGAGCAATGTGATTAAGTTGAAGGTAATGTGATTTAGGATGAAGACTTCAGATGAAAGAACTTTTGTTTACACTTAGATCTGAATAACAAAAAAAAATCAACTGTACAGATTAGAGGACAGAGCCTTCTCAGCAAAGGAGACAACAGAGGCAAAGACCTTAAAACACATTAGTACTAGTGGGTTTGAGGAAAAGAAAAAAGGCCAGTGTGGAAGGGCTGGGCCTTTAGGGAAGATGATATGAAGTTAGAGCAACAAACACAAGGCTGAGGATGGAGTTTAGATCTGAAGAAACAGAAAATCAGTGAAGGACATTAAGCAAAATGGAAACAGATTTACCAGATCACGCTGGTTGCCAGTAAGCAATGGATAAATGAAAAGCCTGCAGTTTCAATGTGAAACCACCCTAACAAATCAAGGCAAGATGAAGGACCCAGGACATCTCACACTGAGCCTGGCTGGATCAAAACTGAACACTGAACTGTTTCTCACAACTCTGGCATCCCTCTTTCCCTAGTCTTCCCGGTAGTAGACAGATGGCCCATGTACCCAGGTGTGAAAAACCAAAGCTCAGTAGTCATTAAATGTCTCTTCCTCTGTCCTCCATATCCATGATGTTAACCACAGATCCAAACCTAAAACACTTATGATGTTCTGACCATCTCTGCAGATTGGCTCTTTCTATCACTGTCACTTATAATATTTTGTCTGTGCTCTAACAAAGTTTGCCTGGAGATCAAAGGATGGTGCTAGCCACCTAGTTAACCACAGAGGCCAGGCAGTGGTGGCACACACCTTTGATCCCAGCACTTGGAAGGTCTAAGCAAGAAGATCAGGAGTTCAAGGCCACACTGGGCTACCTGAGATTGAACCAGTACAAAAGAAACAGAGCTCACACCTTTGATCCCAGCACTTGAAATCTCATGTCTTTAATTCCAGCACTAGGGAGGTGGAGACAGGAAGTGATATCGCTGTCCCAGAGAGTAATATAAGCTGGGAGGAAACAGGAGTCTGAGGATTTTATAGAGGTGAGAACTAGTGGCTGGCTACTCTGCTTCTCTGATCTTTCAGCTTTTACCCCCTAATATCTTACTCCGGGTTTTTATTATTAAGACCAATTAGAATTCACAGTACAATCACTAAATACTGAACAAAATGTTTTCATGTTACCAAATATTCACCTTTGTTTGACATTGATATGCTTATAAAAAGGAAACACATAAAGTGACCATGTGACAAAAGTGGCAGAGCCAGAGTTGCAGGTCCAACCAGAGAGCACTAAGAATTGCTGGGACCTGCTACACAGTGGGAGAGAGGCCTGGAATGGGTTATCTCTTATGAGGAACACACTCTGCCCACACTTATCTCAGAATAGGCGGGACAGGAAATCTCTGTTGCCTAAGCCCCCAACATGTGGTACTTTGTTGCTGCACTCACAGGAAATCCAGGCCCCATGTTAGTTGATTTTTGCCCCTTGCACCACCCTGTTGTGTCAACAATGAGCTTTTCTCAGTCAGGCAGAGGAAACCTCAAACGCATGTGTAACAGCTACTTCCTATATAATGCATGAGGCATAGAAATAGCACAAAAGAAAAACTTTGTTTCTGGCAATTCTACCCCTACATCCACCAACTGAGGACAGTATGCATGCTTGCAGGTCTTCTTTATTTCACACTATTTTTTAATCCTCTGGCCTTTTTATACCATACTTCAGAGTGTTTCATGTAACAAAATGTTCACAATGCTGGATATGCAGGCCTGTGTCATCAGATATATAGCCTATTTCATCACAGCCTTTGGTGGTGACAAATATGGTACCATGAGAGCCACTCCAATTAAGTAGTCACTGTGAAGACCAAGCTGTCAGATAAAGAGGGCTGAGGATGCTTCCAAAGTGCTTGCCCCATCTCACCAAACACCCACCCCTTGAAAGGGGAAATGCTGCAAGGTCTCACCATGCCTGACGGCAGCACACACAGGACTACAATTGTTCCTATTTTGACATCATCTCTACTTACAATCTGCACCTTATCATTTGTTACTACAGTGGGTAAAGTACTCTGCACTGTCTCTAACTGACTCTCTGGATTTTTCTTGGTCATAGGCCAACAGGAAGAGAGCATAAGTAAGAGTAACGGGACTTCTGGGAAGGACATGTTTCTAGCTGTCTGAATCTAGAAGCTGTGTGCCAGGGGCACAGCTCTTAAAAGCAAGTGGGCTAATTCCCTTGAAAGAAAAAAAAAAAAACCAGTTTTTCTAGGTCTAGTTAAGTAATTCCAGAAAAGAAAGAAGCATGTCCCATGTCAGGGAAGATGGTATAATCTCAGATCCTTGATATCTCATGTGTAGTTAATCATACACCATACTTCAGTGTAAGGAAGTGTCAAGGGCTCCAACCTTCTGAGAAGGGTATTTAGTCCCAACCACCACCTGGGCCACCCTCATATTTTGGCATGACCAGACCATAAAGCCCAAACCAGAATGTTTCAAGCTCCCGGGTGATCCTGCTGTGAAACCTGGGTCACACCTGCTTTCTGAGTCCCTTTCAGGATAAAGTGCTGGTCAGAAATGTACCTATGTATCTCTATTTATCCAAGAAGCATGAACCCCATACAGCCACTGGAGACAGTCCAACTGCTCTCTCCCGCTGCAGCCTACCTGTCTTTCTCAGTCACACCTTCTGGCCCTGCTAGGAGCGCAGCATCTATAAAGGCCTGACCTTCTCCAAATTCTGAAACCTAGTGGTCACCATCACCCTAGAGACCAAGTCTCTCCAGCAGAATTGCAAGGCTTAAAGGCACATGTCTTTGGCTGCATCTACTCAGGTTCTTATGATATCCCTACCCTGGGTTGTGTAAGTCCAAACCCCCAGAACTTGAGAACATGACTTTATTTGGGAAAAGGGTCTTGGTAGGTGTAGTGAGGTAAGTGTCTTGAGCTGGAGATCCTCCTTAATTACCAGACAGACTCCACATCTACAATACAGAAGTAGAGGAGGAGACCATGAGGCATGAGAACCAGAGATTGGAGTGATAGGTCTATAAGCCAAGCAACACCAAGGACTGCCAGAAACCAAAAGCAAGGAGAAAACCTGGAATTGATTCTCAGAAGAAACTTAACATCTGACTTCCGGGCATGAAAGACTGATTTTTTTGTTGTTGTTGTTGTTGCCACTTCAAGTCTCTGAGAATTTTTAGAACAGCTATAGGAATGCCATATACCACCACAAAACTGAACTGAATCAAACCAAACCAATAGCACTTCTGAAGGAAAATTAGATTGAGTATTTAAATGAAGGCCTCATGAGCAAAGAACATGTGTTCCTTTAACATTTTCCCAAAGATCTGTCTAATAAATACCTGGGAATTAGAAAATGGAAAACTTGCTCCCCACCCCCTGAGAATTCTGAGGAAGAACCCAGCTCAGGCTTACTTTTTAAATCCTGATTCTACTCAGCGTTCTCACCCTTAATAGGCAAGAAGTCTTGTGGAAAAAAAAGCCCCAGACAGGGATGGATTTACAGATCCCACTCAGAACTATGAAAGCATTCAGGAGGGTAGGAAGGGTTTCAGATTTGAGGAGTCAGCAAGGCACATCTATTACTTTCTCAACTCCAACTTCCTTTTCTTTACTAGAATTGCAAGGCTAATACCAATGACTGTAAGGCTCCAGAAAATGTCTACAGCCTTGCAAAACAAGTGAAGAGTTTCCTTGTTCACAATCTGCCAGTCACTACTAAATGGTTCCCAAGACAGAACATTTTGGCTGGTGCAGAACATGCCATCACAAACTCCTGGAGTGTGATGAACTATGGAAATCACCATTCACACAAGACAAGAATGTGCTTCACAAAGACAAGAGCACACTGGTGCTGGAATAAGAAAAACATGTATGTGAAATAGTCTTCTGTCAGACCACAAAGCAGCCATAACTCCAAAGCCAAAATATGGAGGAAAGCATGGGTGTGAGTACATAAACAGCTTCTAGGCCCCAAAACAGTAACACAACCAAAATGGAACAAGGTGTGCAATTTCTGTGATAGACAAGAGCTAACCTGACTGATGATCAAAAAGCTTCCCAAAGCCCAAGAACAAATGGCAATGATGCAACAGGAAAATGGGTAGAAAATATGAAAATCCAAGTTACATGAGTGGAATTTAAAAAGGCCCATATACCCCAGAAAAAGACACTTTGGCATACTCTTTAGTAAAAAACAGCATGTCTAGCAGATGGCAGAACCTCCTCCAAGGCAACCTCCTCCAAGGCAAGGCTCAATGCTACGTCTAAGCATATGTCTTAAAGGTACACACAGATCAGTGCACAAGTACTTTCACTGCACCGTTACTTACAGTAGCAAAAGACAGAATACTTCCCCAATGTCCATCAGAGGCAACACATGTTAGGGCCTTACGTGCCACATGCCCTGGGAGGACAGCCTGCAGCTCAGGGCAAGAAAGGTACCAGCTGGAGGGAGGAAGAGCTACACCCAGTCCTGCTTAGAGAAAGGGTGCTCCCTGAGAGCCTCTGGCCTCCATTCTAGACCCCCTAGGAGAATGGGAAAAGAGGGAGGAAGAAGCTAGCAGAGGCAAGTGGCTCAGGCACATAGAAAAAAACGGAAAAAAATTCCTGACTAGGGCTGTCTACCCTAGTGGGGAACTAGCAGACCAAAGAGCTAAAGCAAGGGTACTGCTAGGTCCTAGGGCTAGCTCTTTGACATCAAGCCCTTAATTGTGGACTATGCAGAGGTGAAACAGGAAAGCATAAGTTGCATAGTTCAGGACATGGTATTACAAGTGGCTTTACAGCTGCTGCTTCTACTCTATGCACTCCATGACATGTATCTGTAGAGTGTCCATATCAGGAGCCTGATACTGGCACTTGGGACAACGCATGTCAGGTGGTTCCTCAGGAGGGCTTCTCCGCTGGTTGGGTAAGGTCAGATGAAAGGAGTGGAGAGCTGAGAAAAAAAAAAAAAAAGAACAGAGGCCAGCTGGGTAGGCTTCATGCACAGACTGGGTAGACCTCAAAGGGAAGGAGAGGCTAACAAGGTATTGAAACTTACTGATCCCACCATATTTGACTATATGTGTGGCTGGGAACCATCTCTACCAGGACATTCCTCCTTTTGCCTCAAGGTGGTGCAGGCTACTGATGGGGATAGCCAACAAGAGCTCCCCAAATGAGAGCAGCAGGGAGGTTAATGCATGCTTTCCCTCAGCACAATATTCTGCCCTTCCTGTCCATCTCCTCCACCATCTACAACCTGTTCACTCACCTGATGCAGGGAGTAAAGGGGGCTGAGAAGTCTCTACATGCCGCTTCCTCATATCCTCAATCCTTTGAAAACAAAAACCATTCAATCAATGCCTGCAGGGTTTTTTAATGAAAAAACACCTTCATTGAGATATAATTCATACACCATACAATTCACCAATTTAATCTGTATTGTTCACTTGTTTTTACTATATTTAGCATGTCCATATATCATCTATATAACTTTAGAATCTTTTCATCTCCCAAAGGAAACTTTGTACTTATTAACAATTACTCCTGGGCTCCCCCCATCAGTTTCCTCAGAACCTCACTACAAACTACCACATACCTAGTGGCTTAAAATAACAAAAATGTACTCGATGCAAGCAGGTGCCCTAAATCAACATGTCAGAGAACTGGGCAGAAGTACCATACTCTCCTCTAGCTGGTGGTAGTTAAATGACTCCTTGGCATTTCTTGGCTAGTAGCGGAATCCCAGTGTTGGCCCTGGCCTTCTTGGGGCTGCCTTCTGTATCTTAATGTGATGTTTCTATAAGGACCACAGCCAATTAATTAACCTGATGTGACCTTATGTTAACTAATTACATATGCAAAGATACTATTTCCAAATGAGGTCAGATTCTGAGGTTTTAGGTAGAGAGAAATTTGAGGGAATTCTATTTGTACTGGTTAGGTTCTTTTATTTATTGTTTTATTTTTATCAATTTGACTCAAACTGAAGTATCTGATAAAAGAAAACCTCAACTGAGTAAATGTCCCCATTAGATTGACCTGGAGGCAAGCCTGAAGGGCATTTTCTCCATTGATAATTGATGTGGGAGGGCCTAGTTTACTTGGGATAATGCCACCCACTGGGTAAGCACCTGGGCTGTATAAGAAAACAAGATGAGCAAGCCATGAAGAACAAGCCAAAAAGCAGTTCCTCTATGATTTCTGCTTCAGTTCCCCAAGTTCCTGCCCTGACTTCCCCATGATTAACTACAAGCTGAAATAAACTCTTTCCTCTCCAAGTTGTTTTTAATCATGGTGTTTATCACAGCAACAGTAACCAAACTAAGACAGACATTAGTACCAGGCTCTTGGGGAACTGCTAAGACAGACCTGGCCATGTTGTTTTCTGGAAGATTGTGGAAGGACTTTGGAACTTTGGGCTGGAAATGCCATTAAGTAGTTGGAACTTTATGGACTGTTCTTTGGGAGCCAGGAAGATAAGAATACTAAGAGCAATGCAGATGATGAAGGCCTAGCTTGTGAAGTTTCAGAGGGAAGCAAAGATTCTATCATGGCCATATATGTGGTATTTTGAATTAAGAATCTGTAGTTCTGGTCAGCTGGTGCTGAAGAATCAGGTGGGATGAACAAGAAACCAGAAGCACTGAAGTAAAAACCTTTCCTGGGATACTTGATGCTGGTTAACTGAAGCTGATAAAGCAGCTATGATCAAGAAAAGACCAGCATGATTGAGGCGAACTCTTCTAGACTCTAAAATCTAGAGAGTATCTCCTCAGGGTCAGGACAATGAAGCTCTGGTCCAGATGTGGCCAAGGCTGTATCTCATGCTATCAGTCAAACAGGGTACTATGAAGGAGTCATGGAAAGTAGCTGAGGCTTGGCACTACTTGAAAGGTCAGGAGAAGCTATTGGTGAAGGTGCATCCTCAGAGCAGTGGAGACCCCAGCATATTGGAGATTCCAGTACCATGAGACAAGAACAGCAAAAGCTGTGGAGCAAAGCCAGCCTGAGCTTATGAGACAAGCTATGTGTACTATAAATGGCAAAGCCAGAGAGGTATAGCTGCCCAAGCCCTTTGAAGCTCAGAGGATCATGAGTGTGGGTCCTAGACATCAAGCATTGCATTTACACTGTTAAATTTTGGCATTGCTTTTTTATTTGTGACTGTGCCATGGCTCTTCATTCTTAGAGTAAGAAAATATGTAACTTATTATTTTATAGGAGCCCATTTAGGCGTTTACAGAGACATTTATTTTTTTAATGAGTGGTGGAATGTTTTAAAGACATTTATGGGAGTTTTTTGGTTGTTTTTTGGTTATTGAGACATAGTTTCTTTGTAACAGCCCTGGCTGTCCTGAAACTCACTCTGTAGACCACGCTGGCCTCAAACTCAAAGTTTCATCTGCCTCCCAAGTGCTGTAATTAAAGGCATATATCACCACGCCTATTCTAAATTTATGTTTTATACTGTGATTTTTAACATGAATTGGAGGACAAACAAGAAAGGAAAGGTTATGGTTTAATAGTGGTGTGTTTGTATGTCAAGTTGACAAGGGGTTAATTATGCTGATTGGCTTTTGACAACTTAACACAAACTGGAAAAAGAGAATCTCAATTAAGGAACTGTCTCAAATAAATTGTAGGTAAGTTTGTGGGGGCTTTTTCTTGATTAAAAATTGATGTAGGATGCCCAGCCTACTGTGGGTGGTGCAACCCCTAGACTTCTGGGCCTGGGTTATATAAGAAAGCAAGCTGAGCAAGCCAGTAAATAGCATTCCCCTGTGACCTATGCTTCAGTTTCTGCCTCCAGATTCCAGCCCCGACTTCTTTCCATAATGGATTATAAACTGTAAGCTAAAATAAACCCTTTCCTCCCCAAGTTGTTTTTGGTCATGGTGTTTATTACAGCAATAGAAACCAAACTAAGACACTATGAAACCTAATATATCCCCACAAAAACTCCAGCCTTAGATACCTCTCAATATATGCATTTCAGTGAAGTTTCTAACTGGACAAGTGTGAAAGGTCACTGTTGAAAGGACAAGACACAGGGAGAGCAGCAAGAGGTACAGGGAACTTAACACAAACACCAAGAGCCATCAACCTCCTGTAGCTACTTCTGGTTAACGCTAGTATATGCCTGCTCTGTGTGTGGCTGTGCTCCTGTCTATACTCTTAGAGGCCCACCTGGCTGACTCATGGCAGCCAGCCTTCAGTTTGCTGATCTCGCGCTGCAGCTGCTCCAGCTGCTCCTGCAAAAGCTCCTTCTTCTCCACCAGCTTTTCCCGGGCATGCCTCTCAGCTTGGAAGTCAGCCTTGTAGATATCCGCCTGGCAAATAGAACAAAAGTATGTCAATCATCCATCAGCTGCCTATCAAACATTCTATGCCATGCTCCCAGAGGAACAGAGTCTTGTCCTGTCCCCAAAGATCACATGATAGTACACCAGGAACAGATATGAAAGCCTGTGATCCCAAGGGCACCAAGAGGTCAAAGACTCAAAGGAGGTGCAAAGGACTCACAAAGACTAAAAGAGACCTCCAAAAATGATGCCAAAGGGGTACACCAGACCCCACTACCTGGGACAGTAGGCCACTCATGTGACAGGCAGGCAGGAGCAGAGCTCTCACCTGGGCCTTCAGGACTGGCACAGTCTCCATCACAATCTTGTGCTGCTCAGCCTCTTCTTTCAGCTTATCAATCAATTCCTGTTTGGCTACCAGGGCCTCCTCAGCTTGCTGGAGCTGTTGCCTCAGATCTTCTAGATGCATGCCCTAGAGAGGACAAAAGGCAGAGTCTCTTGGCCCACAGTGGGGCCAAACTACTTCCCTGGCTGGCCACTGTTCTGAGAACTAAGAAGGAAAAGCTGGAGCAAAGCCAGTCCTTTGGACTTCGGGGCGAATGTCAAAATCTCAATGTGTGCAGGGAAAAGGCTGCATCCTGCTGTGGCCCTTTAATACAGAAGAAATGCTGAGGTCTTTCTTAGGATGCACAAAGATCTTAGGGCTGATAAGAACTTTGAGGATATATAAAGCTCTGCCTCCTACTCTGAGTCATCCCCTTCAGAGAATTTCCAGCTAGGCAGCCTTCCTCTTAACTCTTCAAGGACAGGAGCCATCCTCTCTTCTAAGGCTTCCCACTCCAAAGTGAGTAAGTACTATGCAGTAACGCTGTACATACTGCAGGCCCACCATACACCAGGCAAGGCTGCAACCCACTGCTTCTTCCACTCTGCCACTTGGTCAAAGGTCTGCTTCTCTCTCTCTCTCTCTCTCTCTCTCTCTCTCTCTCTCTCTCTCTCTCTCTCTCTCTCTCTCACACACACACACACACACACACACACAAAATACATATGCACCCATGCTCTCAAACAATAATTCCCTCCAGAGATTAAGCAGCTATTTGTAAAAGATTTTCTCAGCCACAGTGGATGATCTTTTTGATGTGTTCTTGGATTTGGCTTGCCAGTATTGAGTATTTTTGCATCAATATTCGTGAGTGAAATAGGTCTGTAATTCTCTTTCTTTCTTGAATTTTAGTGTGGTTTGAATATCAGGGTGACCATGGCCTCATAGAAAGAATTTGGCAATGTTCCTTCTGTTTGTATTTTGTGTAATAACCCAGAGGGAGAAAGACAACACATTATGTACTCACTCCTAAGTGGATATTAGCTATAGAATAAAGGATAACTATGTTGCAATCCACAGACCCAAAGAGACTAGGTAACAAGGAGAGTTCATGGGGGACACCCAGTGCAGTGATACATTATTTATGTTTTAACAAATAGAGCTTGCCTGGAGATCAGAGTGTAAAGCTAAGCCACTAGAGGCCAGGGAGTGGTGGCTCACACCTTTAATCCCAGCAGAAGGGTTTGTTAGTTCAAGGCCACCCTGAACAACAGAAGACTGATTCTGTCTAAAAGACAAACAGAACTCACACAAAGGAAATCCTAGCTCTTGGGATCCCACACCTTTAATTCCAGCATTAGGGAAGTGGAGACAGGACTGATGGCTAGGCGGAGAGAGGAATACAAGGCGGAGAGAGGAATACAAGGCGGGAGGAGACAGGAGCTCACAGCAGTCTCAGGTTTGGTGGAAATGGGCAGTCTGAAGAGACAATCTGAGGACAGGATTGCCCCTTCGGTCTGAGCATTGGTAAAAGGAAAAGGTCTCTCTAGTGGCTGGCCACACTGCTTCCCTGATCTCTCAGCTAATATTAATTATATATATATATTATTATTATTAATTATAAAATAATTATTATAATAATTCCCTAACATCTGACTCTGGGTTTATTTATTAAGACCAATTAGAATTCATGCTACAACCCAAATCTCCCTGGCAAGAGATTTCATGAGTGAACTGAGGATGGGTGGGGATGGGAACATGAGTGATCAGGTTGGAAGGGGCATGGAGGAAGAGAGTACTGAGAGGGACTGCTGGGGGAACATTTGGGAGTCAGGTGGAAGCCAGGAGCAGGGGGATCTCCCAGGAGTCTACAGGGAGGACCCCAGCTTAGACTCCTAGCAATAATGGATAAGTAGCCTGAACTGGCCATCTGCTGTGACCAGATTGGGGTCTGGCCCAATAGTCATCGGAGAGGTATCATCCAGCAACTGACCCACAGCCAAACATTAGGTGGAGTTCAAGAATCCTGCACAAAGGGAGGAAAGAGTATAGGAGCCAGAGAGGTTAAGGACATCACAGGAAGGCTCACACAATCAACTAAACTGGATTCATAGGGGCTCACAGAGACTAACCTGACAAACAGGGAGCCTGCAAGGGACTGACCGAGGTAGCTTGGTCCTTTTGTGAGATTTCCTAACAGTAAGAATAGGGACTGTCTCTGACTCTCTCACTAGCTTTTGAACCCTACTCCTCATACTGCATTGTCTTGCCCAGCTTTAATACATGGGGAGGTACTTAGTCTTTCTGCAACTTGATATGCCATGTTTTATTGATACTCATGGGAGACCTGTCCTTTCCTGGACGGAGACAGAAGAGGAGGGAATTGGGGATGGGAGGGAGGAATAGGAGAGGGCCTGGGTGGGGAGGATAAAAGGGAGTCTGTAGCCACAATGTAAAATACATGAAAAATAATTTTAAAAAGATTCTTAATTTACATATGTGTGTATGTGTGCCACATGTGTGCAGGTACCCACAGAAGTCAGAGATAGTATTAGATCCCCCACAGCTGGAGTTACAGGTGACTATTAGCCACCTGATGTGGGTGCTAGGAACTGAATTTGGGTCCTCTAAAAAAAACAAGTGCTCTTAACCATTAAACCATCTTTCTAATCCCTTAAGCAGCTATTTATAGTTCTTCATCATGTGACTTAGTTTTATGCTTAATCCTTATAAATCTCTGGGTACATTATGGATGACAATGTCCTTCTTAAAATGTGACCATTAACTTGAGTAACTATGCACAATTTTGTGTTAGCTTTCAAGTTTTTTTATTTGACTTCTATTATTAAAGTAATTATTTAAATTTTAGACAAATAAGAAAATGTAAGTTTTTATTTTTAAATTAATATCTGAGTTAACTCATTTCATAATAAATTTTTTATGAAGAGAGGTCTTCATGCTTTTATTATTTGAGCCCTCCCTTAATGTATTTGCTAGGAATAATAGTATTCAAATATTTTTAATCTACTTGTGTAATACTATAGTGTCTTTCAAAAGTTGTCCATACACTTTCTGAATTAAGGCCATATTTAAGGGCTAGAAGAGCTCACCTTTTCACAGAAGGTAAAAAAAATTCATAGTTGTAACTGCAGATGAAAAAATGTTTTCATGGAGATGTAGTAATCATTATGGCAGTGGAAACACCCAGTTCATAGTCTAAAATTTTAAATCCATATTTAGGGAGGGGTCAGATTTTAATGACTGTTTTAACTACAACTGCTTATGTTATAATAAAATATATAAAAATACAAAATTTTGTTTAACTAAACTATAAGAATTATTTTTTATACAGTTGTAATACACACACACACACACACACACACATCATGGGGTTTGATTTTATCCAACTGCCTTTCCATCTAGTTCTCCTCATTTTATTCATGGGAAAACAGATATACTCCATTTTTGTGAATCCCTTCATCTTGCGTAGCTGCACTGAACTAGAACTGCACAGATCTTTATGGTAAATGATTCTAAGAAATTTACTGAGAGTCAGAAATGCTTTTAGAAAGCAGTTTCTCTAATCTGTTAATATCATTTGGCTTCCCACTGCTCTCTGGAGTTAATTAAACTGGGGGGTTGTTTGGGGAGGGGGGTTGTATTGTTTTGAGACAGGACCTCTTTCTATAGCCCTGACTATCCTGGAACTTACTATGTAGACCAGGCTAGCCTCGAATGCACAGAGATCTGTCTGCCTCAGCCTCCTGAGTGCTGGGATTAAAGGTGTGTGCCATCACAGCCAGCATCAATATGTGAGCTTTTGATAACCTTGTTAAAATATCTTATATGAGGACTAGGATGTAAAGAATTACCAACATTATCCATTCTATTTAGGAGAAAAAGAACAGCTAATAACTTTATTATGGGGGAAAATGTGACCACTAGAAAACTAGTCATCGTGGCACACACTTGTTATCTCAGCACATGGAAGATGGAGGCAAGAGAATCAGGAGTTCAAGGCCAGTCTCAACCACTTAAGAGTTCAAGTCCAGCCTGGGTTATACAAGACCCTGTCATTAAAAAAACACAAAAGAATAGGCTATGAAGATAGTTCAGTCAGTTCAGAATTCAAGCCCCAGAACCAATGTAAGAAAAAGAGCTGAACATGTATAGCTCCTAAGGAATTAACACCAATGTTGTCCTGTGAATTCTACATACATTAGTACATATGCATACATACAAAGTGAACACTAGAAACTGTACCCAGCTTAGGGCTGATGAAGATAAACTATAAAAGAGCTCCAAATCATCCTAGAAATGTTTCTGGGGGATGAAAGAAGAGGCTGGAAAGACGGCTCAGCAGTCAAGAACACTTGTTGCTGTTGGAGAGGACCCAGGTTCAGTTCCCAGAACCCACAAGGTGTTCACAACCATCTGTAACTCCAGTTCCAAGGAATCCATCATTCTTTTCTGTCTTCCAAAGGTACCAAGCACACACTTAGTGCACATACATATATGCAAGCAAACATTTCTATACATAAAAATAAATAAGTATAAAAAATGTTTTAAGAGAAAAAGAAATGTTTCTGAGACGTCCCCCCCCCCCCCGGCTCTGAGCATGAAGGAATGACCATGCAGAAAAGCATCCTTATTCTATAAACTGAGTATTTGAAGGTCCTATGGATGCATCCCATCCCCTTATGGCCATCTCTAAACTGTCAGAGCTGTAGCCCTAATGAAGGTGTCAGGCAATTTGAGAGTCCCTTCCAAAAGTTAGATGAGCTACATCTCAAAGGTCCCATTGCTCCCCTTCAAGTACATGGGAGAAGAAGGGAAAAATCTTTCCCTGGACAGCCCAGGGCAGCCATACTTACTAGCTTGTGCTCTCCACTCACCTTGCTGCTCTTGATGTGACTGTCATAATCTTGGAAGAGCTGGTGATAGGCTGCCTGCAACTGAGCCAGCTTCCTCCTGTACAAAAGGAGCTGTCACTGAAGAAACAGCTTGCCTGGTACAGCTTCCCCCTCTTTCTTCTTGTCCCATAAAAGACCTGAAATGTGGGCTTCCTGGATTACATGTGGGCTCCTGAGGCCATCAACTCTAAGGTTGGCTTTGCTTGACTACAAGAATACACTGTAACTGATTTGGCTGCTACATAGTTCATGTTTTCCTTAAAGCCAACCTCTTGGGGTGTTTCTAACAAGGGCTAGGGTACAACTCAGGAGTAGAACCTTTGGCTAGTGTGCTTGAGGTCCAACGCTCCATTTCTAGCACCAAAAAGAAAATAAATAGGTGAAATGTTTATAATAAAACAGCACTTGACTACACTTTGTACAAAACAAAGAGGCAGGGAAATTGTTCTAAATTAAAGAAAACTCAAATGGAAGCTGAACCAGATGCCAATAGCATGTTTAGAGCCTGTGCACAGATTGTGGGCCCAGATGAGTCTTTAGGGCCAGCTTGAGGCACCATGATTCCTTGCTTTCCTTACACCAAGAGCATACTTCAACTGTGATGAAAAAAAAACTGTGTAGGACATATAGTAAACTATGAATATGAACGGAAAATATTTCTGTTTACATATAATAGTTGACTCTTTCATTAGCAAGGCAAAGGGAGAAAGTCAGCTCTTCTAAACACAGCCAATCCCTACCAGGACTCCCCAAAAGACAGAAAGCACCATGGGTGCTCTGAGATCTCTTGGTTCCAACCCTCCCAGCCACTCACTTCTCCTCTGAAGCAGCCTGACGCTCCATTCGCAGGGCAGCCTCCACACTCTGGTTCTGCATGCGCAGCTGGTCCACCTGCACGCTGTGCTGCTGCTGCAGCACCTCCCGTTCACTCTCCAGCTGTCTAACCTGCTCACTAACAGCTCGCATCCTGACATACAACAAAAAAGAACACACTGAGGTGGCTGGAACAAGGCAGCCTGGGGAAGGGGTCAAGTCCTGAATAGCCAGTGTCTGAGAACTAATTCTGGTGGCAAAGTAAAAGAACCATGGCACCAAGAAAAAAGAAGCATCTCCTGGAAATGCCCCTGAAGTCATTAAGAGTGTGAAAGCTATCCCTGCCCCTCACCAGTTACAACACTTAAGAGAGCAGGCCCTATACCTCAACTGGGTAACACAATAGAGCCAACCTGGTTGGCAGAGGTATGGATGAGACAGCCCCAAATTTGTAAGCATGGGAGAGCTGTCCCCACTACTTGCCTGTCGTGTGATGATGTGGGAGGGTGAAAGATGCCCCCCTTTACCCCTTGCCCCTTACCACCTCCAACAGACAAGAGAGCTGACCCTCCCCCTTACCAGCTGTAGCACTTAGTTAACAGTCCCTGCCCCTTGCCTAGGCAGCATAGAAGAGATGCTCAGTGGCTGAAGGTGAGGGTGACCCAACCCTGAGGTTATGAGCAATGGAGAGCTGCCCTCATTCCTCATTTGGCATGTGGTAGCCCCACCTCCAGACCATTAACACTTGAGAAGTGTGGAGGAGCTGACCCTGGGGTCATAAGAGAGGAAAAGCTGTTCCCACTCCTCAGCAGCAGCAGTACTTAGGAGAGAGGACCCTGGCAACACAAGAGCTGGCCCTAACAGCATCAGTGTGGGAGAGCTGACCCTGAGGGCATGAAAACAGGAAAACTGGCCCCACCCTTGCTCATTGCTGAAAGAGGTGAATTAGCCAGGACAGTGCTGGTGGTGAGGACAGGGGAGAACTGGCTGGCAGATCAACCCTACAACTGCCCAGGCCCAGATCCAGGGTTATGAGTTGGCCCACCCCAACATCCACCCATCTTTGATCTGCTGGAGCACGTGAAGGGACCTGACCCAGATACCCAATGCTGCAGGATCTCCACGGCACACGGTGACAACAGGAGATCCAAGAGGAGTCCTAGTGAGGGCCCAGCATTGATAGTGTAGTGGAAACCAAAAGCCTCAAACCAGACCAATGACTCTTTGCAATGAACACTTGCAAATAACGCTATATGAACAAAGGGATTTACGTTGTGATTCACTGTGTCACACTGCAGCTTCCATGATGAAATTTTTAATTCTTTCCCTTTTTAATTTTTTTTTCCTTTTTTCCCTTAAATGTTGTTTTATTTGGGGGTGCAGGGGAGAAAGGAGGATCAAAAGGAACAGGGAAATAAATAGGATCAAGATACATGATGTAGGGGCTGGAGAGATGGCTCAGAGGTTAAGAGCACTGACTGCTCTTCTAAAGGTCCTGAGTTCAATTCCCAGCAACCACATGGTGGCTCACAACCATCTGTAATGAGATCTGTTGCCCTCTTCTGGCATGCTTGTATACATAATAAAGATACATGATGTAAAAGACACATATAATAAATAAAAAGAAACATCTCCTGACGTGTTTGCTTCTTATGCCCAACAAACAATCACATTCAGTTGGCAAGGAGATAAACTAGGAAGGGGATTTAAGTACCTGCACCCCAAGCTGCTGCTGGGACCAGGTAGGAGGAGTCACTGGTAAGATGCCAAACAGTCTGGGTAAAGTGATGTCAAGAGACTGTTCAGAGTCCCAGGCACCCTCATTGGAGGCTCAAGTTCCATACCTGGGGTATACAGCCTCATGGAACAGAAGATGGCATCAAAGTCTCAAGAGAATTCATCTCTCCCTCTATACTCTTTCACTGTAAAAGCTTTAAGTTGACTCACCTATATCACCCATAGTCCCTACATCTTCTGATCCTGGTCCACAGTACCCCATAGTTTCCCTTAAACCCCAGACCCCAAGCACTAGCCTCATCACCCTGGTACCTCCCTATGTATCCATTACAAAGGCAATAATGGGCATATCCATGGGCCTCTGAGGTAGCCTCTGACCGCAGGTCACCTCAACTTTGCCAAGGCAAATCTAGACTACTGGGCCTGCTCCCCTTTGGCTTTTGCTCACATTGCCCGTCCCCTAACCACCACAACCAGTGGTCTCTGAGCCCAAGTCGAACTGTCCTCCCTTCCACAGGACAGGAGCCCCAACCCACTGCTTCACAAACATAATGACTACCTACTGTACTGAAAAGGCCAAGACTACCCTTCACCAACTATCTGGAGGACAGCAACAAGGCAATGAGATAGGCACAAAAATGCCCATGTCTGTGACATGGTCTCACATGGCAACCCATTCCCCTTGGCAAGATCTAAGGCCACTACTTGGCAAAGTCAATCAAACACTCTTTTCTGCCAATGTGATCAACTCCCAACAGAAACATGGGGTTCACAGTCCCTAGTTAGAAATAGCTCATGGGGGGAGGGGGAGGGAAAGGGGAGGCAGCGGTGGGGAAGAGACAGAAATCTTAAATAAATAAATAAATAAATAAATAAATAAATAAATAAATAAATAAATAAATGGGAAAAAAAAGAAAAGAAATAGCTCATGGGAGCTCCATGCTGTTCATAGGAATAAAATGTATTCGGTCTTCTTCATCTAGGACTTTCTGCCTTGGTAGAATCCCATTGCATGCCTTTCCCATGATAAACTTTAGTCTGATTAGTGAGATCTTGCGTGTAGTTTTAGGGGGCCCTACAATGGTTCCTAAAGAATAAACTGATCCTGAATGTAATGGTTTGAATGAAAATAGCCCTCATAGGCTCATATGGAGCAGCATTATTTGAAAATATTAGGACATGTGGCCATGTTGGAATAGGTGTGGCCTTGTTGGAGAAAGTATGTTACTGGAGTGGGCTTTGAGGTGTTAGACGCTCAAGTCAGACCCAGTGGCTCATTATCTCTTCCTGCTGTCTGCCAATCCAGATGCAGAAGTCTTAGTTCCTTCTCTAGCACCATGTCTGCCTGCATGCTGCCACACTTCCTGCCATGATGATAATGAATTCAACCTCTGAATGTAAGCAAGCTCCAATGAAATGTTTTCCTTATAAGAGTTTCCATGATCATGGTGTCTCTTCACAGCAATAGAAACCCTAACTAAGACACCCAGTAAAGGGTCGGATACTGGAAACAAAAGTGGAACTAGATTCATAGATGTTGGACCAGGGCCACCCTGAGGGCCCCAGGAAATCAGAGGAACTCCTAGGGGCTCCTACATTTGCCTCATTCAAAACCCTGGAAAGGGCCTCCTGGGCTAGATTCCCCTCCCCACTCACCTTCCCTCTAATGTTTGCCGTTCTTTGGTGGCAACCTCCAAGCGACTCTGACTTTCCTGGAGTTCCCCCAGTAATGATGTCACCTGGGCTTTCACAGAGGCCTTGTCCTCAGCCATCTGCTGCAAGAAAAAAGGTCATTTCCTATCAGTACTACTTTCTCCCACGATGCCCACTTTTAGCATCCACAAGAAGTCTGCAAGCAGCTGATGTACTAAGGGATTCTCCTGCCCCTTAGTACCTATTTGGTGCGGGAGAATTGTCTGTATTCTGTCAATCATGTTATAAATAAACGCTGATTGGCCAGGCAGGAAATATAATCAGGAAAACCAGACAGGAAGTAGAAATGATGTAATGAGAACAGGAGAATTCTGGGAAAGAGAAAGTTGATTCCTCCCACTCCTGCCCAGACCACCAAAGCAGCAGGATGTGATCTGCCCCACTGAAAAAAGGTACTGAGCCACATGGCTAACATAGATCAGAAAAATGGGTTAATCAAGATGTGAGAGTTAGCCAGTGAGAGGCTAGAGCTAATGGACCAATCAGCTTATAATTTATGGAGGCCTATGTGTGATTTTCTTTGGGACTAAACAGCTGGGGAACTGGGCAGGACAAAAACCACAACAACAAACAAGCAGGCCTGGCCCCTCCATGTTACACCTATAAACCTAGGTATATTGGAGCCTCATTAGCCTAATAGCTATCTGTCCTCCCCAAGTCACCAACCTAGACTTTCAGCTGATAGTGAACCTTTCTCAGTCTCTTTGAAACTCTGTAAAAGGAGACCAGACTCAAAGACATCCACAAAAATTAACAACCTAGTCTATATACACAACAGGTAAGAAGTCTCATTTTTAAAAATGGGAGAAAATACTGAATTTTTTTAAATACTAAGAGCTGAACCAGCAAGAAGACTCATCGGGTAAAGGTACTTGCCACCAAGGCCCATGACCTGATTTTGATCTTTAAAACCACATGGTAGAATGAGAGACTCAACTCCCACAATCTGTCCTGAGTGCTGAGATTAAACTATACTCAGCTCAGCCAAACTTTAAGGTTGACCAAACCTTAATATATCTTCAAACAGCTTAAGATCACATTCCTAGAATGTCCCAGGTCCCTTCCTAGTTCCTACTTGCAAATACTCAGAGCTATTAAAGGAACTATTTTAGCCAACACTGCATAGGCTGGAAGGCTAATAAGTACTACCAGTCATGACTCCTTCCTCTATCCCTCTCAAAGTCCATGTATTTCCTATGGCCCTAACCCTGTCTCAAAAACCTGAATGCCACTCCTTTGAAATGAAATCATCAGAAAGGATAGGACTCAGACTCCCAGTCTCATGGTATAGTAAAATCCTATATTTGATTGTACAAGACTGTAAATACACTGGACTCATTACATTGACACTAATTCCCTTTGTCATTCACTTGAGCTCCTTCTCCTGCCCAGATCCTTCATTTTCTTTCTATCTCTATTTCTGTCTTTGTCTTATTTTTTGAAGTACTGGAAACTGAATTCCAGGCCTTACACATGCAAGTACATGTACTGAACCACACTCTGGTCCCTATTCTTATTTTAAAATTCCCAGTCATTAGGTAAAGAGATGATTTAGTGGTTAAGAAGAGTACTTGCTGCTTTTTAGAAGATCAGAATTTAGTTCCTAGCACCATGACCATCTAGTAGCGTATAGCTACCTGAAATTCCAATTCAAGGGGATTTGACACTCCCTTCTGACCTCCAAGGGGCATCTGCACACATTACATACACAGACAGACACAAACATCCAAACACATCAATAAAAATAAATCTTAAAAAAAGATAAAATACCCAGTCACCTCTGCAGATCACCCACCAGAGCTCAGCTAGCCCTTTCCCTCTCACTGACATCAGTTTCTGGAAAAAAAAAAAAAAAAAAAAAAAAAAAAACCTGTTTCCATGACTTTAACAACTGTCCACCTTTATGTTTCACATTGGTATCCTTATTAAAAAAGAGGAGGGTTTTGAGACAGCTCAGCACGTCTCAGCAGGTAAAGATACCTGCCATGAAGCCTGACAACCTGCGTTCAATCCCTGGGACATATATGGTAGAAAGAAAACTGATTCCTGCAAGTTGTCCTCTGACCTACATGTGCACAACATGACATATACATGCCCACATGTGTGAGTGCTTGCACAGACACACACACTACACAGAATAAAATGTAATAAAAATTTTAAGAGACAGAAAGAAAAGACCATGTGACAAGAGAGCTGGGGCGCACCAAGAACTGCCAACACTGATAATACACTTGGAGAAGTACTTGGAATAGCCCTTGTGAGGAACCTACCCATACCTCCATCCTAGACCTCTAACCTCCAAAACTGGGGACAATCTGTTACCGAAGCCCCAAGTATGTGGTACCTTGCTGCTGTCTCCCTAGATAAAAACCAAATGCTTTGACCAGGCACTCCCAGCAGCACTGTGAACTCAGCCCTATATTATAAAAACCTGACTCTGGCAGGTCTTCCCTAACCTTTCTTCCAGGATTACCCCTGCCAGATGACATAATCCCTGCTCAACTACTGTCACTGGGGTCCTGAAATCTGCTGATCCAAATGGCCCCAAAATACCCTGTCATCCCACATTAAGCACACCATCCTTTGGGGACAATGCAATACAAGGGCCAACTTAAAGGCCTGGAACCATATACTTCTCCAAAGGCTCCTGAGGATCATCTCTGAGCCCCCTGGGAAATCCTGCCTGATGAGAGTGCCTTGGTTTAACAAGGGTCTAGGCTGTCTGGCCTGATGGCAAGGTATAAGTGAGGGCCTTAGAAACATGGTATGGTGCCAGCTGGACTTCAGGGTGGCTAGGACCTAAGCAAGCTGGGTCAGGTACCCAAGCACTCCATGCCTTCATAAGTGAGCCCAATATAAACCCAAGACATAGGCATGCTTCCTGCGTGACATTGCTCCATGTACATTGTCCCCACTGCTCACAGCAAAAGCACTGCTCCCTGAGAAGCTCACATCTGTCCTCTCCTGGCTCCTGCCCTACATGCCTTGTACCTTGGATAATTTAAATGTGGACCCTTTCAATGTAATAAACTAACAATGAGTGTGATGGCTTCTCTTGGTTCTCAAAGTGCCCCTACCAATCAAGCCAGAAGAGGTCCTGGGGGGACTCCCAACAACATGCCTCCTATGAGAATATGCATGTTATTATAGTCTTCAAACACAAGTGAGGCAGTTACCTGCTGGCATTTCTTCAGGTGCTCCAAATCTTTTAAGGCCTGTTCCCTCTGTCTGTGCAGGTCAAGCTTCTCCATGCTTAGTCTCTCTACCAGCTTCCTGGCTTCCTGGAATTTGCACATGAGGAACTCCTTCTCCTCCCGCTGGCTGACCTGGAAATGCAGCAGCTCCTCACAGCATTCTCTTAGCATCTGATTGCTCTGCCGGATGGCATCTGGGGACAGGGAAGACAGCAAAGGAGATGTGGGTCCTGACAGCCAGGCACTACCTGGCCTTTCTCAAAGAAGTCAAATCAATTCCACTGATGATATGCTCCCAAGTGTCTGCAATGCATTACTAAACACATCATCTTCACTTGAAGGGATATATCAAATGCAGCTTTCTTTTTAAGTACTTCATTTATATTCTGGTCAGTTGGAGGTAACCCTACCCTGGAGCACTCAGTTCCAGTCTCCCAGGCCTGCATCTCTGTCTTCAAGATCAGGGGATGCTAAACATGCCTACAGACTTGGAGAGGTAGGGAGACAGTCCCCAAGACAAATCTCACTGTGTAGCTTCTGGCTACAGCCTGGGAGTCCAGAAGGTGCAGACAGAACAAGTTAGTAATATCTGAGTTTCATCATCTTCAGCTGCATATTCAATAACAGTTAACAACCACCTTGCAAAAATGAGGGTGGCATGAGAAAGGACAGGCTGCCTGTGCAGGAGACACACTCAAAGACCTCTTATCACCAGAGCTGACCATGTCCTTCCAAGAGCAGACCACACTACATCTTAGGACAAAACCCTCTCTCTCCCAAGGAAAACCATATTCTCTCCCACCTTAAAGCTTGCTGTGTCCTGAGAAATATCAAACTTACTCCCATTGATCCATATAGCCCACTTTTCCCCCCTACCCACCATGGCTTCTCAGCTTGTACTCTTTCCCCTTTCCCGTCTCCTTCCCCCTTCCTGGTGCTGGCCCTGAACCACATTATTTCCTATATGTGAATCTTCACAGAGAACCCCACCTGAAACCAAGCAGGAAGATGGCTAAGATGGCTGGTTCTTAAGCAAATCATGGCCTCATAGCCTACCAATAATGAGGTGCAGGTGAAAATAAGTTTTGTCCTTAGTGTGCCAGGCCACTCCTGACTATTTTACTCCATGCCTCCCTCACACTGCAACCTTCACCTCGGAGTTCTTGGTTCTCTTCCAGGCAGCGCTGGAGGGTCTCAGGAGTACCCTGCTCTGAAGGCAGATGTAACATTGCCGGCTTTCCCAGAGAAGATTCTTCACCCTGCATGTCCTGGTCCCCTGCTGGGCCACCACTGGGCTGCACCATCTCACTCAACTGATTCTTCCAGAGGTGCCTGCTCATCCAACAAAACCGTATCTAGAAAAAGACAGAAGGAGTGCATGACACAGAGCAGAATTCTGTCAACCTATACAGAAGCCCTAGACTTTAATTCACAGCAAAAGGCTGGACATTTTATCTGGTGGAACCAGGTACAATATAAAAGTGGAGTCTGGGTCTAAGATGTAGCAAATATTCCCATTCCAAAGGAGAGAGTTATCTGTGGAAGGAAAGGACAGTGTACTGGGAATCCTATCTCCTCCATATACCTTCAAGTAGAAGCAGAGAGTCCTGGCCCCTCACTTAATGTAGTAGAATGGTTCATATATCCATGTCCTAATCCCTGCAACTCAAACACTCCTCTCACTGGAGCTGACCACACCCTTTCAAAAGCAGACCACACTCCATCTTGGGGGGGGGACTTCTCTCCCAAAGGAAAACTATATCCCCTACCACCAAATGCTTGCTGTATCCCAAGAAAGCTCAAACCTACTCCTACTGATCCCTGCAGCTCACTTTTCCCCCTACCCACCATGACTTAATAGCTTGTCCTCTTTCCCTACAAATGTGACTTTACTTGGAAAAAAAGGATCTTTACAGATGTGGTTAAATTAAGGATCAAGTCAAGAATGGTAGTGCACACCTTAAATCCCAGCACTTAGGAGACAGAGTCAGGCAAATCTCTCTAAGTTCAAGGCCAGCCTGATCTACATAGTAGTAAGAACCAGTCTCACAAAAAATTAAGGCCCTCAAATTGAGATCATCATAAGTTACATAGGTGGGCCATCACCCCAATAACAAGTACCCTTCTGAAAGACAGATGAGACAGGACTGGAAATGTAGTTCAGTGATAGAGCACTTACCTAGCATACACAAGGCCCTGGGTTCAATTCCCAGCTCCTCACATACACACAAAAGAGACAGAAGAGAGAAGGAAAACATACAGGGAGACAGACATGGGAAGACAGAAGCTGAGACTAGACTGATATAACCACAAACTAAGGAACAACTGAGCCACCAGCAGCACCAGCAGCTAAAAGACACAGGAAGGATGCTCTTGTACAATTTGCAGATGGAGTGTGGCTTTGTTGACCCTCTGGTTTTATTCTCCTGGCCTCCAGAACTGTGAGATATCAAATTTCTGTTGTTTTATGCTACCAGGCCTGTGGTCATTTCTTATAGTACTCACAGGAAACTCAAATACTTGGTATGAGAGACTTCAGGAGATGATACTGTACCTGAGGATAGAAGAGAGCTCTGGTGTCTTCTGTATGCTAAGAATTTTGAAAGTGGGACTTGGGTTGTCAGTGTCAGACACAGGACCCCTGATCTGTTTAGGTTGGCTTGTAAGTCAAATGGAGGACATGCAGGGCAGAGTTTACCTAGAGACTTTCTAAATCCTGCCTGATTGACTATCAGGAAGAGTATAATCTCAATGCAAGCTTCCAGAAGTGGGCCTTCAGTAAGGGAGGACACCTGTAACACTTGAAGAATTTTGGCTATTTACACTAAAAGTGTTGATACCCATAGATCCATTTGCCTGAGCTCACCCAGCTGACCCTTCCCTCTTCACCTTCTTTCTTCCTTCAGCTTCCAGAAAAGCCTCTTCTGGTGTCTCTCACTCCCTCAAAGGATGATCCTGCTGAGGCCCTTTCACTGAGTTCCCATTCCTTCATGTTGAGGTGCCTGGGGGCCTTTTTCCTAACTATATTCACCCCTGCAGCATTTCTAGCCAGTCTCATGGTTTTAACCCAAATTTTAATGTTGATAATATCGCAAACAGTTCTCACTCCTGAATTCCAGACTCACATATCAAAATACTTGGATATTTAGAAGTCTACTCAAGGGGCTGGAGAGATAGTTCAGCTGTTAGGAGTGCTCAATGCTCTTCCACAGGAGCCAAGTTTACTTCCCAGTACCCATGTTGGGCAGCTCATAACCATCTATAACTCAAGCACCAGGGATCTAATTTACTCTTTTGGTCTCCTAGGCGTGCACACATGCGTAAACACACACACACAAAGAGGTAGTCTCAAAATTCATTTCTCAAGGCTAGAGGTATAGCTCAGCAATAAAGCACTTGCCAAACATTCACCAGATCCTGGATCCCAGCACTACGCAAAAAAGTGAGTCTCCCAAATCCATTTCTACCCACAACTTCCCTTACTATCAGCTGAAAACAAATCCATCCCCCAATTATCAGAACAAAAAGCTTGAGTATTTCTGTGGTTTTGTTTGCTTGTTTGTTCAAATAGTTTCTCTGTTCCTTTTCTTCTCCCTCCCTCATCATAACAAATTCATGAAGAACCTCTATAAACATTAAGTATTTTAAGTGTGATCATAGTATTGTAGTTATGTTTATTTAGAGTCCTTTCTGAAAGAGATGCATAATGAAATACTCACATGTCTGAAATTCACTGCATAATAAAAGGGAGATGCCTAAGGATATATCCAAAAGAAATGAAAACACAAGTCCATATATAAATGACGACAGCAGCAGCATTACTCAAAGCAGCCAGAGGGGAAACAATCCAAATGTCCATCAACTGATAAATAAGCAAAATCTAGCCAGGCGGTGGTGGCGCACGCCTTTAATCCCAGCACTCGGGAGGCAGAGGCAGGCGGATCTCTGGGATATCGAAGCCAGCCTGGTCTACAAGAGCTAGTTCCAGGGCAGGAACCAAAATGCTACAGAGAAACCCTATCTCGAAAAACCAAAAAAAAAAAAAAAAATCTAGTACAGCCACATGCCAAAACAATAACACATGCTCTAAAGAACTGCTAAGAGAAAGAAATGTTACCAAACGCTAAATACTGTATGTACTTCCACTCATAATAAATATCCAAAAACATGTAAATCCAGACAGAAAGTAGTTTGATGGTTACTTAGATTAGGTGGACTGGGTTTCTTAGGATTTCTTTTGGGGGTGATGACGATGTTCTGCAATTAGTGATGTTAGCACACTCCCATGAATCCACTAAAAAATACTGAATTATAGACCTTAAATGTGTGAATTGTAGCCAGGTGTGGTGGTATACTTCCCAGAACTTGGGAAGTAAAAGCAGGAGGGTTAGAACTCAAAAGAATGGGATCTTCATGAGACTCTATCTCCAAAAATTTTGAATTATGGGCAAGTGAGATATCTCAGTGGATAAATGCCCTTGTTATGCAAGCCTAGAGATCTGAGAACACATATAAAGGTGGAAAGGAGAGAGCTGGCTCAACAACATTGTCCTCTGACCTCTACACATTCAGGCCACAGCACCTATGCTATCTCCCCCACCCCCACCCACACAATAACAGTAAATGAATATTTTTTAAACATAAATGGTGCAGCATGCAAATTATGTCTCAAGAAAGCTGTTACTGAAAATCATAATAGGTGGGGCAAGAGAGATGATGACTCAGTGGTTAAGAGCACTTGCTGTTGCTGTGGAGGACAGTTCCCAGCACCCACATGGTGGCTCATAAACATCTGTAACTCCAATCCAAGGGGACCTGACACCTTCTTCTGACCTCCTTTAGCACCAGACAATCATATAGTACCCATACATACTCAGCAATCATGAAGTACACATACATACTTACAGCCAACACACCCATACACATAAAATAACATCTTTTCTAAAGAAGAAAATAATCATGGTAAAGGGTGTGAATTAAAGTTAGCTATGAGTTGATAGAGAAAGCTAAAGAAATGTGTACATGAAACTTACTTTTATACATTTTTTTTTTCGAGACAGGGTTTCTCCGTAGCTTTTGGTTCCTGTCCTGGAACTAGCTCTTGTAGACCAGGCTGGCCTCGAACTCACAGAGTGCTGGGATTAAAGGCGTGCGCCACCACCGCTCGGCTCCATTTTTAAAGTTTTCAATAATAAAAGGCTGACAGCACTATCATCTTCTCCATGGATGACTGCAATCATCTCTTTACAAATCACAATGCTTTGCTTCTTCCCTTGCCCTTTACAATCAACTGCCCCCACTGGGACCAGTTACCTCAAAGATAACTCAGACTACTTCTCCCTTCTACTAAGAACCCTATCAGAGTTCCCATTTCTCCCAGTGCAAAAAACAAAGTCTGTACAACAGCCTACAAGACCTATACTACCTATCTCCCCTTCTTTCCTTCCTCTCCACCAACTATTCCTCCCTGACTGCTTCTGCTACCGGTCCTTCCTTTTTTCTAAGAAATACTAAGACAACACATTCATTCTCAGATCAGATCAATGGTATGAGAACAGACCAATCAATTACTAATCATTTGCAAAGTGAGCAGAGGCGCATAAGATATTTAGCTGTCAAGATACACTTGAAAACTTTTTAAAGACTTCAAATGCACTCAAATTTGATAAACAGCTTGGCCTAGTGGCGCACACCTATTACTCCGGCACTCGAAAAGGCTGAGGGAGGAGAATCTTGAGTTCGAGGTCTGCCTGGCTCACATCGTGAGACATTGTTTCAGAAAACTAAGTTTGATCAACAGAAAAATGTCTCCGAAGCCTTTAGGCGACAGCTGCAGCAGAGGGAAGCTGGGTCGCGAATCAGCACTCCTGAACCAATGCTCTAAAAGCATGCGAAAGCATGCGACAGAACAAACTGGGCCCAAGGGGGGTGGGGTGGGGACTCAGGAGCCTCGGAAGCTGCGGAACAGCCACGGATGAAGCCCTGTCTTTGGAGAAGAGGACCGCACCTGTCAGCAAAGTCAGCCAGAAGTCAAGAGGGCGGGAACAGCGGGATCCAACCTCTCAGACTGAATCGGAGCTCCCAGAAAGTCGGAGTTAAGCGGTCACCCTTCCTTTGTCGGCTGTGGAAACTCCCGCTTCCGGCTTCCGGTGTCGTAAGTGTGGGATCCGGAAGTAAAACAGACTCGAAACCGTGGAGGTTAACTGTAGATGCGAAGCTAAAATAGTCCTGCATCTTGCTCCGTAGAGAAGCCTCAGAGCTCCAGCCTGCGTTGGCCATCCAAACAGCGAAACGCTCCTCATTGATAAACATCACCTCCACGAAACACTTTCTTTTTCTGAGACATGGTCTCTCTCCTAGCTGTCCAGGCTGGCCTCTGAACTCACAGCGATCTACCTGCCTCTACTTCCCGAGTGCTTGGGATTAAAGGCGTGCACCACCACACCCACATTCGCCCCCACTCCCACTCCATTTTCGAGGCGTCGTATCCACACTGAAACATCTTAGTTTAAGTCTGGTCACTGGGCTCTCTATCACCGAGTCCCTACGGTGGAAAAAAGCTTAGAAGAAGCTGCGAAACGAAGCCAAACCGATCACAAGGGGAGGCGTGGCTATGCTGCTAGCGGAAATGGAGTCATACTGGAGGGCGCAGGGACACGAGGGACCACCGAAAAAACAGACCATACAGTGTGCTTGAGGTGGCGATGGGGACCCAGAAAAACTGTGCGGAGCTGCACCTATGCCAGAAAGGCATCGCTATCGCGGAGCAGGAGAAGCAAGGCTTGCAAGGGCTGCGTGCGCATTTTACTTCTACTCCTCTCCCCTCCCTCACCGATGAAGTAGTCGGAAGCTCCTCCCCTTCTGCCTCTCCTGAGGCGGGTCAGCTCAGCCAAAGCACCCGCCCTCCTGCGTTAAATGGGCCAGCGAAGAGCAGCCCCCGGAAACGAGCTGTGCACTCCAGAACTGTGAACCTGTTTGGCAGCATCAACTAAACGCAGGTAAAGGGGTGGTCTGATGGCACACCGGTGGAGGGATGTGCGCCGCGTGTCACTTTGATTCGCGCTATTTGTCATGCTTGGATATGGAAGAAAATCTACGAGGTCTTAACCTATCCCTTTGTACCCCACACTTTCCCGCATTGGGCCCATAAAAACTAGACTTTTAGAAGAGAAGGGACTTTCCGGGATCACCTAGCTTGGCTAGGAGAGAGCTGGAGCTGAACTCCATCATCTGCACAAACAAGCTCAGTTCATTGTGGTGTTTCTGACAGAGTGCGATGGCCCCAGACACAGTGCGATGCCCTGGCCGGATTTTATCTCGCTTCCCAGAGTGTATGCACTAACTGAATTACATTAGTGCTTATTGTGATTTCGTAATGTACAGCCCCCAGAGAAGACAACATACGAGGGTATGGCTGAAGCCCAGAGGCGGCAGTTTCTGACTCTGCATGTGCGAGCACACACAGCATTCCCAGTCAGCAGCTTCAGTCAGTAATCAGTCATTAGCTTGGTGAGAACCCATAGGACCCTTGGATAAGGTTAAGTTGTCAATGCTCTTCTGTTCTCCTGCATTATCAATGAGCCTTTCTTCCACCAGAAACATCATGGCAGAGCAGGTGGCCCTGAGCCGGACCCAGGTGTGTGGGATCCTGAGGGAAGAGTTGTACCAGGGCGATGCTTTCCACCAAGCTGAAACACACATATTTATCATCATGGGTGCATCGGTGAGTCTCCCCTTAGGCCCGGAGTCTGAAAAAAAAAATCAAATGTGTACCTCAACTTTCCCAGCTGACTGCTAAGGGGCCACACAGGTTCTACTAGTTTGAACTTTATGGCATATGTTCCCACCTGTGTGTCTTGATCATCATAGCAGTACCTGCTATACATCATGTACTTGTGTTGAATTTCTCACTTGCAAGGCGTTTCAGAAATCTATGCTCAGCAATTGAATGTGGACCAGACTTGAAGCATCCATGTTATAAAGCACCATCTAGCTGAACTTCTTCCTCCTGGATGGAAAAAAACTGAGGTGCAATTAGAGAATGCGCTTCAGTATTTTTTTTTTCCAAATCTGTAATTTGACAAATGTTACAGTCAATTTCAGTGAAAGGATCTGAGGTCCTGCCTCTGCCTCTTTTCTCTCTACTGAATGAAGCTCCCTAGAGACAAACACCTCCTCTTTGCCACATCTTCCAAAACCTACTTCAGATTTCTGTTAATTCCACCTGGTTTCCAATTGTCCAACTGGAACAACTACCATTGTGCTCTGTTAGGATAACCTGAAGAACAGAAGCCCAGTCAGAGGGGTGGTATTGATGGTACCCAGTGAGACTGGGACAGTTGGGGGCACCCTCTTATGTGCTATGTGGCGGGAGGGCATGTTCAGTGACCAGAGTTTGAACTCAGTTGCTTGCTTTTTAACCCTGGAATCAGCTCACCCTCGTATGACCATCTTCACTATTAACTTATTGTGTAATCTTGAGCAAGAACTTCATCAGAACTGGTGTGTTCTTGAGAAGGTAGCCACTGGCTCAGCACCTTCCATGCTCTGGGCCCCTGAATGCTGGAGGAACTCTATGGTTCTTTGTTCATACATAGCATTACCACCCACTAAGGGCTAGGGCTGTAGCTCAGTGGTAAAGTACTGACCTCTTATGCATGAGGCCCTAAGTTCAATTCCAGTACTACCAAAAAAAGGAAATCAGAACATGCCACCCCCTTTGCCAAACCTGTTCTTTGACAACCTGGTATTTCTGAGCAAAACTGGGAGTGGGAAAACTTAGAAAAGGAATGCAGAAGCAGAGGAGAAGGGCTCTGCTCCTGAAAGGGCAAGGGAAAGATACCCCAAGGCACTGTCTCCTGACTCGCTGTAACTCTTAAGACCCAAGAGAGGTACCCGGTCAGAACACACAGTACAGCAGTCCTACCCTCAGTCCTGACTGCAACCTAGTCCCCTTAAAAGAGCAATGTGTGCATGTATCAACCACAAACCTTAGTATATATGACTCTGTTAGGCCCTTCGATCTAAAGGGCCATCTGGAAGAGAAAGTAACTGAGGATGACTTCCCCTGCCCCACCCATGCTTTCATAAGCTTGCAGCCACAATAACCCAAACGGCAAAGATGGTTTCCAACTGCAGGACCTGAACTCTTAGACACCTCATTGATAGCTTGTTGTGTGACATGGAACAAATGTCTACATTTCTCTGAGCCTTAGTAGTTTTCATCTAACAAACAAGGGCCAGCTTTATCCAAGGCTGATTATGTGAGTTTTAGCCTGAAGTTGAGCAACTTCATTTCACTGCAATCAGTATGGTTCCCCTTTTACTCTCCTCTGCTCTGGGAGTGAGAACTAAGGCTTCCAGAGTAGAAATGGGAAGTGCTAGCTACAGCAGAAAGAAGGGAGTGGGGAAGAAAGAGAGGTTTGCTGAAGAGCATCATTGTTTCTCTCTGTTCCTCTCAGAGGGCCTGAGACCGACAGACCCTGTGCTGTGACAGCCTCCAGAGTATTTCCTGCTTGATTCTGAATGCACGAGGCAGGCAAGGTGCTAGCTGATCTAGGAGACCTGCAAGTTCTCCATTCATTCAATGTAGCAATCAAGTGTCTCCTGCAATCCACAACAGCCTCAGTCCCTATCCTCCTTGTGGGGACACTGTATTTTAGGAACAAACAAACCAACAGGGTTTTAGGGAGCTGTATGGGGCAAAAGTCACAAATGGGCTCTTATGTACTAAGGCCTCTGCAATACACAGGTCCCAAGTTGAGGATAAGAGGGCAATTGTCCTCTAGGTTGGGAATAAGCTCAGTGTGATTTTGAGACTAAAAGGAATCCAGTGACTGGCAGGCCCAACCCTAGGACACTGGGACACACCAGGGCAAGTTGAGCCCAAGTAGCCGTCCTCTGCCCCTTGTTTCTCCCCTTCCTTACCCAATCTTTACCCAAGTACCTAGCTTCCTACCTAGGAGCATTCTTATGCTGCCTCATTGTAGCTTCTCCTCTTTTCAAGACCCCACCCAAACAAGGAAGGAAATAAAAATCCTTACCGTCCCACTCCAGTAAACCCTGTCCTTATGGATCAGTAGGGGGAAGAAACTGTGGACCTAAAAGGGCATCTCCCCCAGCCAATAGGACCTTGGTGAGACTGGAAAGGAGTTCTTTCCCCTTATGCAGAGAAAAGGAATGGGCCTCGGGAGTCCACATGGGCAGATGTGCTTACTACAGGGTTCATCTTTATACATCAGTTTCCCCACCTAGACCGTGTGACAGCCATAGACTGTGGGTAGTCAGGGTCCATCCTGCTGACAGGCCTGTGTGAGGTGTGACCTGGCATTCCAAGCCCATCCCTCTTCTTGAGTCATTTTAGATCTGACTTCTCCCTTGGACTGGTAATATTCTTGCTGTGTCATGATGACCTTGGCATTCTCTCAAAAGCCTGGTGACTCATGGGGCCCCAGAGTATAGGAAGAAGGCCTTTTGTTAGATTTTTTTCCAGCCAAAACCTACCTCACATTTCCCCCTGTTTCATTCCAACGGCTGGAAGCCAGCTGATCTCCTTGGAGATTCAGCCCAGAACTCCACCTTGGGAAGCTGGGGCGGGGGGGGGGGGGGGGGGGGGGGCCCCCACCCCGCCCCCCGCGGGGGGGGGGGGGGGGGGGGGGGGGGGGGGTCCCTCATTCCCAACAACCCTTGCGTGTGATTTGGGTTTATAAACAAGAGGTCAAACCTCAGCTGATCACAGGTCAGTTGGTACTCAGGTCTCTTTGCCCTTATCTGGCTGGAGATCTTAATCATGCTCTAATTATCCTAAATCACCACACGTCCTAGGTGTCTCCTTCCCCTGCCATGATCCTTGGGCAATGTGAGGGGGTGGCAAAGATGAGAGACTTCCAGCTACCTCTCTAATTGCCCCCACTCCCACACATGGTAAGTTTAGATTTTAGTTCTTCTCATATCCCTTATTTAAGATGAGTTCAGTAAGAATCATGAAGCCAGCAGGACAGGCAAGGTCACCCCCATCCCTGAGAAGAATGGCTGCTCCCCCCACCCCCCGCCGGCCCCACTGTCCTTAGTCCTACCTCACCTCCCTTGAGTGACTTGAAGCCAGGCAGGTTGCCGGTTGCAGAAACCGAGGTAAAACAAGGAGAGCAGGTTCTATGTCTGGTTAATCCCAAAAGGAACAAGAACAAACAGCTCTGGGTGTGGGGCAACTGTGACTCAGCAAACCTGTCCCTTACCACCAATACATTGGCTGGAGTCTGTCCTGATTCCTCCCAGTCTGTTGGGATTTGATCATGAGCAAACACTGCCTGCTAGGAAAGGTTTGCAGGCCAGGGTTCTCATTGTTTCTTTCAGTGTCTAGTTTCCAGCAAGTCAGCTCTTTCTGGAGTGTGTGAGGCCAGGACAAAGTCCTCTGAACATGAGCAGTAACCTACATCCCACTGATGGGAGATGCCAGA